GTTTTCTAGTAACACCGGCGGCTACGGAGCTTGCTGAGCTTGATCGGGTCTGCATGACGTCTTCAAAATGCTTTAATTTATTTCTATTTGTCAACAACTCTCCACGAAGCTTAGATTCTTTAGGCAAATCCCATCGCTGCCACCAAAATTTTGTTACGTTTGAATTAGTTGTTACGTCTCGATCGTAACTTCTCACGTATTTATTTGTTACGCAATCGTAACTTCTCTCTATTTCTTTTTCAGGGCAACCTGCTAGGCCGGCTCTACCCTGGGACGCCGAGAGATTAAGAATCTTTTACGCTTCTTTTAGGAGTAGGATTGATGACGGAAATAAATTGTAGGTCCATAGAACCTGACCCAATTTGTCTTTTTGATCTGTTCTCTTTTATTATATCACCTCTGTTCAAAATGCATAAAGTCACGGAAACCGCATAATTAAAGCCGCATTTCCCACCTCATAATTTCGAGGATTTTGGAAAGTCAACGGCGGTCGAGAATCTTCTCGAGACCTCTATTCTTTAACAAAAACCCGACCGTTCGAGCAATCTCTGTTTGCGCCGCGTATAAAAAAACGCTCGATAACAACATTGTCAACTGCCGCCGGAATCCACGAGGCGAACGGGCATGCGCGCCCGTGCGTCACGATCAGCTGATGGCCAATCAGCTGATCCAAAGAGTTGCGCGCATGTCAACAGTGAAGAATATTAATTCTGACCTCATCGGCGGCCAATCATGTGCGGCGCCGTGGGGTCACCGCCACACTTTAAAATTAATTGGGCCACGTCGCAACGGAGCCCAAAATCCGCCCCAGTATATAACGGGCCCAGCGCGCGGGCCCGACCAAGTCTCGCACTTTACGCCTTTTCGCTCACCTATTTCTATTTCGACGCACCGCTAAAACATTACACGACCGCTCTTTTCTCACGGATCACCGCTTTCGATTTTCGGAAAATTCTCGAACCTAAACGCACGACGACAAAATTCTCGAACCTAAACGCACGACGACCGCTATCTCTTTGGACTTCGCTAAACCGCTCGCTCGCTTCACCGCACGCGATATCGCGCACGATAATCGCACCGCTTCACCGCACCGCTCGTTTCATTACAAATTACCGCGCACTGGACACTTGTAATTCTTTCACCCTTTTCTTTTACTGTGCACTGACTACATTAAACTTCTGTTATTTTTATTGAAAGTTCAAAGTTACTCTTTCACTACACGAATCCACTATCCACGATTCACTGCCGGACTTCCTCGCGAACATTTCTGGTCCTTCGAGCCGGATCCCAACATCCTCCGCGTCCGCTGTCTCGTGAGCGATCCTCCCAGTGCTGTGCAGTTTGTGGCGTGTAGTTACCTCTGAAACAGAAGGACAATGAGTGTTAGTTCCGAGACAAAGGTGCTGCTGGAGGCCCAGTATGACATCCACGGTCGGATCTCCCGCACCGTAGACAATCTGAGGAAGATGGGCGTGAGCAACATCACTCGTGATGCCATCCAAGCTCGTACCGGCATCCTGGACAGCCTCTGGCAAAAGATGGAGACTCAGCATGAGCTCATTCGAACAGCGCTGAAAGACAGATACAAGGAGAGTGAGTACGCTGTATCTAATTTCATTGAAGTCGCGGAGAATACGTACGTGACGCAACGTAGCACGTTGACTGGCTACGCTGAAAAGCTCAAGGGCGAGCCGTCCGCCGCGCCCAAAAGCGAGCCTAGCCAGGATCAGGCTCCTAGGACCTCGTTGCCGCGCATCAAACTCCCGATGTTTTCGGGATCCTACGAAGAGTGGCCCTCGTTCCGCGACCTCTTCCTGTCGGTCATCGGGGAGAATTCGTCCGTCTCCGACATCGAGCGCTTCCATTATCTCCGGTCTTGCGTCAAAGGGTCCGCTGAAAAATTAATCAAATCGTTGACTGTGACCGGCGACAATTATCAGCGCGCGTGGGTGATTCTGTGCAGACACTTTGAAAACAAGAGAGAGCTCATTCGCTCGAATTTCTTCGCGTTTACCTCGGTTTCCAAAATGAAGTGCGAGTCCGCGGAGGAACTCGGTCGCATTCACAACGCCGTTACGACCGCCGTAAACGCGCAGGAAAGTATAGGAAGGCCCATCGACACTCACGGTATGGACCTCCTTAACTTCCTGACGATCGAGCTCTTCGATTCGCGCACCCGGATGGAGTGAGAGTCCTCGATTAGCGACTCCACCGATCCGCCCGAGCACGACACTCTCACTAACTTCATCGCCAAGCGTATTCTCACGCTGAATGCCGCCAAGCCGAGAGTACCGACAAAGAGCTTTGAAAGTGCGTCGCGAACCGCGAAAGCTCAGCACGCAAGGACCGGTTCCGAACACTTAAAGTGCGCGCTGTGCCAAGGGAAGCACACGCTTATGCTGTGTGGTGACTTCAAGGCGAAGACCGCGAGCGACCGTAAGTCCTTCGTAGAACAGAACAGACTGTGCTACAACTGCCTCGGGAATCACTTGGTCTCAAAGTGTCAGTCTGTCAAAACCTGCCTAACGTGCAAAAACAAGCACCACACTACACTACACGACGCGTACACCCTGGCCACTTCCAACGAGGTTAGTGCCCTGTCTGCGACGCACTCCTCGTCCGAGCGCAAGGCGATCCTCCTCGCGACAGCCCGCCTGCACATAGCGGATCGCGCCGGGGATCTTCATCCCGTTCGAGCGATGCTCGATCAGGGCTCCGAAGTGTCCATCGTCTCCGAAGCACTGGTCCAACGTTTAAGGCTTCCCCGCACAAGCTCCTCGGTGTCCATCATCGGCATCGGCGGGGCTCGATCCGGGTCAACCCGCGGCAGAGTGGCGCTCAGCCTCTCCTCGACGACTACGGGGACCAAGCTCAAGGCCGTCGCTTTCGTGCTACCACGCCTGTCGGCGTATCAGGGGTCGTCTGTGAGGACCCTCGCCCCCTGGCCTCACATCCGCGGCCTCGAGCTCGCCGATCCGCAATACCAGGAGCACGATCCGGTCGAGCTGCTGTTGGGTGCGGAGGTCTGCGCCCACATCCTGGAGGCCGGCCTTCGAAAAGGTGGACCTCACGAGCCGGTCGCCCAGAAAACGGTCCTAGGATGGATCCTGTCGGGAGGATCCAGCTCGGCGCCCTTCCAAGGTCCCCGGAACTCCTTGCAGTGCTCTGTGGACAAAGAGTTGGATCAGCTCGTACACCGTTTTTGGGAGCAGGAAAGGGAGTCGCCAGCCCCCGTGGCGCTCACGCCGGAGGAAGAGGAGTGCGAGACTCTCTTCACAACCACTCACCGGCGAACGGCGTCCGGACGATACATCGTTCGTCTCCCCTTCTCGTCCTCGCCAACGCCGCTCAGCGATACCCGGAAGCCTGCCGAACGCCTCTTAGCCGCCATGGACCTCCGGGGCAGAAGAGACCCTGAGTTCGGTGCTCGATATCGGAAGTTTATGCAGGAGTACGAGAACCTGGAACACATGAGTCCTGTGGAAACAGTCAGCACGGCTGGCTGTTACCTACCTCACCACGGAGTCCTCCGTCAGACTAACTCCGGTACCAAGCTCCGCGTTGTATTCAACGGGTCGCAACGCACCGCCTCCGGGGACTCTCTCAACCAGCGCTTGATGGTCGGCGCCAACTTGTTATCGGCCTTAGCTGACGTCCTCCTTCGCTGGCGTCGGCACCGCTTCGTGTTCGTCACGGACATCGAAAAGATGTTCAGACAAATCCTCGTCCACCCAGAGGATCGCCGCTTCCAGCGGATACTCTGGCGCACCGAAGCATCTGAAAATACAAGAGAATACGAGCTTAATACTGTCACGTATGGGCTCGCCTGCGCTCCGTTCCTCGCCGTCCGCACGCTCCGCCAACTCGCCGTCGACGAGAAGGCACGGGGTCCGAGGGGAGCGCCCGCTCTACTCCATGACTGTTACATGGATGACATAATTACCGGGGCTGACTCGTTGCACCACGCCGTTGCACTGCAAACGGAGCTTCGAGAGCTTTGCACGGCGGGCGGGTTTCCACTTCGCAAGTGGGCCGCCAACTTTGAGGCCGTCCTAGAGGGTGTTCCCTCCGACCACCGGCTCCAGCAGGCGCACCACTCCTGGGAGAATGAAGTACACTCCACGTTGGGCCTGCGCTGGCATACCGCCTCCGACAACTTCTCTTTCGCGATCCAGCCCCCGGTCGCTAGCGAGTTCACCAAGAGGCGAGTATTGGCCGAGACAGCGCGGTTGTTCGACCCCTTAGGATGGCTCGCCCCTGTCGTTATCCGCGCCAAGATCCTCATCCAGTCGGCGTGGCTGAAGAGACTAGGTTGGGACACTCCGCTCCCAACCGAGGACGCTAAGTCTTGGCAGCGCCTCCTCTCCGAACTCCCTTTGCTGGAGAACCTCCGGATTAAGCGTTGGCTGGGCGTGGACCACCCGGCCCCGCGGATCGAGATCCACGGGTTCGCGGACGCGTCTGAGCGCGGTTTTGCGGCCGTCGTCTATCTCCGCGTAACCAGTGGCGACGAGACGGCCATCCACCTCCTAGCTGCAAAAAGCAAAGTTGCGCCTATTAAACCAGTGTCTCTGCCGCGCTTAGAATTGTGCGCCGCAGCCCTACTCACCAATCTGACGTTTCACCTTCGCAAGACCTTAGAATTGGTTTCAGCCCCGATAACTCTGTGGTCAGACTCCCGGGTGACGCTCCAGTGGATCCAGGGACACGCTTCCAGATGGAAGACCTTCGTCGCTAATAGGGTGTCCCACATCCAGGAGAAGCTTCCGGAAGCGCGATGGCGACACATCCCGGGACGAGACAACCCCGCCGACTGCGCGTCTCGGGGAGTAGAGCCCCGGGACCTGATCAGCCACTCCCTCTGGTGGACAGGACCGTCATGGCTCCCCAAGGACCCATTGCTCTGGCCACAGAGCGACCACGCCGAGCACGAGGTCGACGTGCCGGAGACGAGAGCCGTCGTCTCCAACCTGACGACCCAGGAGAAGACCGAACCTGAGATGCTTCTCAGGTTCTCCGACCTCCATCGCCTCCTAAGAGTTACTGCGTGGTGTTGCCGATGGCGAGGCAACCCACCGAGCTCCAGGGAGCACCTCCCCCTCGCGCCTGACGAGCTAGAGGCAGCCCTGCTCCGTTGGATCCGCCTGGTGCAGGCACATCACTTCCCCAAGGAGATCGCCGCTCTGAAAAGGGGCAACGCGTCAGTCAAGGGTCAACTGTCGAAACTGACCCCCTTCCTCGACAATCATGGCATTATTCGAGTCGGGGGCCGGCTGAAGCACGCTGTGCTCTCACCTGATGAGCGCCATCCGATCATCATGCCTCCAGAGTCATGGTTGACTCAGCTCCTCGTCCGGGCACACCACCGGCGAACGCTCCACGGCGGGGTCCAGCTCACTCTTGGACTGCTCCGCCTACGCTTCTGGATTCCTCGAGGCCGCTCCCTCGTCAAGGGCATAATCCACCGGTGTGTGACGTGCGCGAGATGGAAGGCTGCAGCACCGCAGCCTATAATGGGCAATCTCCCGACGGCACGAGTCACTCCAGCACGCCCGTTTCTGCGCACCGGGATCGATTACGCCGGACCGATCTTGATACGAACCGCAAAGGGGAGAGGTCACAAGGCGCACAAGGGGTTTATCGCCGTTTTCGTCTGTCTCGCTACCAAGGCCGTGCACCTGGAGGTCGCGTCAGACTACTCCACCGAAGCCTTTCTCGCTGCGTTCCGGCGATTCACTTCCCGTCGGGGCCTCTGCGAGGAAGTCTATTCGGATTGCGGCACAAATTTTGTCGGCGCCAATCGGGAGCTGCGCCTTTTGTTCCAGGCGTCGTCATCCGACGGCCGGCGCATCGCTCACAGTGCCGCATCCGACGGGATACAGTGGAAGTTCAATCCGCCGGCGGCACCTCACTTCGGCGGGCTTTGGGAGGCAGCGGTGAAATCAACCAAACACCATCTGCGGAGAGTCCTCGGAGACACGACCCTCACCTTCGAGGAAATGTCTACCTTCCTCGCGCAAGTGGAGGCGTGTCTCAACTCCCGTCCTCTTCAAGCCTTGTCCGACGACCACGACGACATCACGGCACTCACTCCCGGTCACCTTTTGATCGGGGCCCCGCTGCTGGCCGTGCCCGAGCCCTCGCTGTCAGACTGCAATCCAAACCTCTTGGCCCGCTGGAAACTCCTCCAACGGATGCGCGACCACTTTTGGGAGAGATGGTCTCGAGAATTCATTAACTCACTGGCTTCCCGGCCAAAGTGGCTGAAGGACACCGTCAGCCCCTCCGTAGGCGACCTGTGCCTACTGCGGTCGGACGTCACACCGCCGACCAGATGGCCACTCGCCCGGATCGTCCAGCTGCACCCTGGGGGTGACGGCGTGACACGAGTGGTGACAGTGCGCACCGCGTCCTCGGAACTCCTCCGGCCGCTTGCCAAAATCGTCCTCCTGCCCGGAGCCAACACCACAGCACCAACAACCCCGGTCTCGTGAGCGTGAAAGATCGCATTTTTTTTTTCATCCTCCTTTTTTTTCTATTCATTATAATCACTGGTACTTACCGCGACATCACCGATAAGAGTACCGCGCGTAATCACCGCTTTCTCACATGCGATAATCACACGCGAACCGCGCTACCACTCTTCATTCTTTTCTCACCGACACTTCACCTCACTTGAATCGTTCATCACCCGCTGTCACTCAAGCATCACTGCACTCGCGAGATCATCCGCTAAAACCCCTTGCAATCAGCTCACCGCATTCACTGTATATTCTTCATTACCGCACCACTTCATATTACGGAGGATTCTATCCGACTGCACAACACGTGCTCTCGCGTGACGTCACACATTCCATTGATTGATCGCGATCAATGGCTCGCCGATAGTATCAGTGCGACATCTGTCCGTACCCGCGCCCACCCAGGAATTTCGTCACGCACTGACGAGGCGGGCGGGATGTTCAAAATGCATAAAGTCACGGAAACCGCATAATTAAAGCCGCATTTCCCACCTCATAATTTCGAGGATTTTGGAAAGTCAACGGCGGTCGAGAATCTTCTCGAGACCTCTATTCTTTAACAAAAACCCGACCGTTCGAGCAATCTCTGTTTGCGCCGCGTATAAAAAAACGCTCGATAACAACATTGTCAACTGCCGCCGGAATCCACGAGGCGAACGGGCATGCGCGCCCGTGATGGCCAATCAGCTGATCCAAAGAGTTGCGCGCATGTCAACAGTGAAGAATATTAATTCTGACCTCATCGGCGGCCAATCATGTGCGGCGCCGTGGGGTCACCGCCACACTTTAAAATTAATTGGGCCACGTCGCAACGGAGCCCAAAATCCGCCCCAGTATATAACGGGCCCAGCGCGCGGGCCCGACCAAGTCTCGCACTTTACGCCTTTTCGCTCACCTATTTCTATTTCGACGCACCGCTAAAACATTACACGACCGCTCTTTTCTCACGGATCACCGCTTTCGATTTTCGGAAAATTCTCGAACCTAAACGCACGACGACAAAATTCTCGAACCTAAACGCACGACGACCGCTATCTCTTTGGACTTCGCTAAACCGCTCGCTCGCTTCACCGCACGCGATATCGCGCACGATAATCGCACCGCTTCACCGCACCGCTCGTTTCATTACAAATTACCGCGCACTGGACACTTGTAATTCTTTCACCTTTTCTTTTACTGTGCACTGACTACATTAAACTTCTGTTATTTTTATTGAAAGTTCAAAGTTACTCTTTCACTACACGAATCCACTATCCACGATTCACTGCCGGACTTCCTCGCGAACAACCTCCTTAAGGCTTTACAAATTTTTATTATAATAGGTATAGGTATATTTCAAAAGGGATATTTAAATGTGGCTTTTATTTGTTATAACATCGCAATATTGGTTCTTTCAGTGATTATTGAAGAAATTATCCCGCTGCAAGTATTCGTAAATTTCGATAAAATCTTCATCTGTTAATCCTGCGAGGGGTTGGACGTTGCTTGGTAAGACCAGGTCCTCTGGCTCTCTATCCGGGTAGAAATTTGGTTCAGGATGATCTTGAATTTGGCCCTGGTTGGATGGACCAACCTCCGGTTCTGTTCTTCGTTCTACGTGTGCTTGTTCCTCCGGTATGGGGGGCAGATCTTCCTGTGTCCGGACTGGCGAGTAACTAGGATTGGATGAATCCTGGATGGGAGAGTAGTTGGGCGATGCCGTCCTGGCTCTGGGCAGTTGTTCCTCGTGAATAACGCTGGAGGATTTCGGGGAGGACGATAAGGGTATGCGCGGGGGGCAGCGAAACTATGTACTGCTGAGTACCTAGTTACTCTGCTCACTAAATTGTTCTCGTCGGCAAACAATTGACGAGCTATAGGGAGCCTAGGTATAGACCGTGAGGCTCGACGGCGGCGTATACCCGCGGCGCGGAGGGGAATGTCACGTCTGACGGGAGAATTTCGGCGGGGGTTAACCATCTACCGAGGGAATATGACCATTTAGTATGTTTAATACGATTAATTTAACACTAAGAGGGGGTTTACTTACGATGATGCGTAGAAAGACACCTGTTAAAATGAATGGTTATATGAAGTAAATGTAATTACCACAAAGTGATTCATGGAATTAGGATCAATATTGCGGATTAATGGATTACTGTGAGATAAACGAATGTTGGTAATGATAGTATATCTCTACTTTGCACATATAATGACCGAAATGTTCAGCGAGATACAAGTCATTAGGGTACAACAAATAACAATTTATTTGATGTATTTTGAATTTCCAGGAGCATGCGGCTGCACCGAGAGGACTGGAGATTCAGGGATACAGACAAGGATACGAATAAGAGCGGCTGGCTTACTTAGGATAAGTATAAAATTCATGAAATGTTTTGGTAGTTAGCTTGTAAGTCAGTGCATAAATTTTATTATTTCGAGGTCTTCTAGGAGCGAGTCTTAGATTCTGGTCCTCTAGGAGCGAGTCTTAGATTCTGAGTCTAGTATCGATGTGCAAGACGTCACGTCACAGCGGCACAGGATCCACGGAGAAATTCTTCCAGAGAAGCTCTCCGTGAAAGCGGCAGAGGAGTAGAATTTGCTACCCAATGCACATCGAGTGACTAACTCGAACGACGCTACACTCTAGGATACGCTTAGAGCGTTCTCAGAGGATCGGTTGAAATTTAAATTATTCAACTCAAAAGAAAAAAATTTAGAGTCTGTATACGGACAGGTAAGATTCAAGGAAAATTGTCATACAACGAATGATAATTTATTTAGCATATTTTGAATTTCCAGGAGCATGTGGCTGCACCGAGAGGTCTGGAGATTCAAGGATACAGACAAGGGTACGAGTAAGAGCGGCTGGCTTACTTCAGATAAGTATAAAATTCATAAAATGTTTTGATAATTAACTTGTAAGCCAGTGCATAAATTCTATTATTTCGACAGATCCTCTAGGAGCGAGTCTTAAATTCTGAGTCTAGTATCGATGTGCAAGACGTCACGTCACAGTGGCACAGGATCCACGGAGAAATTCTTAAAGAGAAGCTCTCCGTGAAAGCGGCAGAGGAGTAGAATTTGCTACCCAATGCACATCGAGTGACTGACTCGAACGACGCTACACTCTAGGATACGCTTTGAGCGTTCTCAGAGGACCGGTTGAAATTTAAATTATTCAACTCAAAGAAAATTTAAAGTCTGTATACGGGCAAGTAAGATTCTGGGAAAATTGTCGATTTATCTAGAATAAATCGAACTAATATACAAAGTTATTATCAAGGTTGATTAAGAATGATTATTATTTTATTATTTCCTTACCGGATGACGGGATTCGTGGATGAATAAAGGCACCGCTGCTCCTTCCCTAGATTGCTCGACCTCGGTGAGAACCTGAAGAAGTGGCAAGGCAGCGCAGAGAATGGCCAAAGACTCAGAGGTTGCTGGATGATAGCACTTTATTAAAGTGTTGGTGTCGATACAGCTCTCTTAATAGAAATTGAGACTAAGTCTCGAAAGAAAAAAATCAAAATCGCGACTAAGTTATTTTTCGAATATGCTAAGGTGTCCGGTAGGCTTCTAGGTTTTTCTTCTTCGAGAGCTGGAGATCTAAGAGCTAAGAGCCGAGAGGACCGAGAGTTGGAGTTTTTATAGCGTAGAGGGGCGGAGACTTGACGATTGAATGGTGTAGAGGAGCGAGACTTGACGCCCGAGGTGCCTTAAGTCCCTTCCTCTGGTTCGATGATTAATGGTAGGGAGAAGAGGTGGGCCTCTTCGGTGATTGGTGGGTCGGCTGCTGGAGCTATCCCTTCCTGCTATGAGTTTGCGATGTGGTGGGTGAGAGTTTTGTGGTAGGGATTGCAAGTCTTGAGTCTTAGATTTACTAAATAATTTTAGAATAATTTTTAATAATGATTTTTAACAATCAGAATTTTTTTTACAATATCTTGTTTATGCTATTAGAAAATTTGAGTTTGATTTATAGCAGTTGTTTAAATTTTAAGTGATATTTTGGTAAATTCTGATGTATTAAACCATTATTATTACAATGATTTTTACAATGGTGCATATATAGTTAAAATTAATAATTAATAATTAATTAATAATTAGTAACTTAATAATTAGTAATAATTAGTAAAGAGAGGTTTAGCATTTGGATTGCTATAAGAGGTTTTTCTTTGCAAGTTCTAACGCAACGGATGCGAAGATGGCTTATCTCTTTTTCTAAAAATAGATATGCTGGGTGTCCTTCGAAGAATGCTCACCACATTCTTTCTCTTTATAAGACACGTTAGTAACAGTAATATTTTTTAAACGAATTACCTTTTAAAATTCGTTTACGTGGCTTAAACTGGCATATTACACGTAATATTCCCAGGTTTACTAATTATTGAGATTTATCATTTACAAGATATTTTTTTATTTATTTAATAAAGGCTTCAACAATTAGAATTTTTTTGTGGTTTTATATGTACATATTTTAAAATTTTCAAAGTCTACTTTTAGTGATTGCTCAAGTCTATGAATAATATTTTAATAAATTCTAATGCGTTAAGCCATTATTATTACAATAAATTTTACAAAGGAAATTAATTATCGCTTCGCTTAATAATTATTATGTCGCTAAAAGAAATTTTATTCTTACAATTCTCGGAACAACGTATGAAAAAGCGGCTCGTTTTACTTGTAAGAATGATCACGACGGATGTGCTCGAAGAATTCATTGCACGCTCTACCGTGATCTTTTATTCAAGAGGTCTTTTGATTTTGACAATATTTTATTCTTTGAAGATTTTCGTTTGGGCGACTTTTATATTAGCATATGTATATATATATATGTATATGTATTCGCATATTGCTTATGAAAATTGGTTTTGGCAAATTTTTACTGAATCGTATTTAATAATCATTGTATAAGATTAATAATTATTGTATAAGATCATGGGTTTATTAATATTAATTATTTGTTAACATTCGTAATATATATATATATATATTTTCTTGCGTGCTAATATATGTTAATTTGTCGCGGCGGCAGTCTATCATGTCTTTACTTTCGTTTTATTGCTAAATTTGTTACAAAAATATATGCATATAGTATGCATATATGTATGGGGATATTCTTGGACAAGTTAATATATATATGGGTAAATTTCTATCGCGACACTCATTTACTGTATTTATACCTTTATTTTATTGAGCTTCGTTATAAAGTATATATGCGTATATGCAAATTTATTCAATTTATATGTTACATATAGTATGCATATATATGGGGATATTGTTGGACAAGTTAATATATATTTGTTAATTTTTATCGCGACGCGTATTTATTGTATTTATACCTTTATTTTATTGAGTTTTGTTATAAGGTATATATGCGTATATGCAAATTTATTCAATTTATAGATTATATATAGTATGTATATATATATATAAAGGTGTATATTTTTATATATTAATACATGTTAATTTTTCGTCCTGACGATTGTTTATTACGTTTCTACTTTTATTTTATTGGATTTTGTTATAAAATATATATGTATATATGCGTACATGTAGTCAGTTCACATGTTACATATAGTATGCATACATATGTATATAGAGGTATATGGTACTGGATAATAGTGTAATATTAATAGAAAATGCTTTGTTAATGCTTAATTATAAAAGAGAAGTCGATGTATTAATTTGGTTTGCACTCATGCGAGCGTGAATTTAGATCTTCCCTCTGCCTTTAGGTCGGGCGAGGATGTTTAAAAATTCCAATGGAGATAACGCGACGTGCTGGACTTGGCCTTGCACGTTTGTTCGACTCGTAGAGTTATACGCATAATATTCTTCGTACGATATTATTCGTAAGTACACATATTATTTCTCTATTCTTCTCGTGTTTTCACGTTTTATTTTTCTTGACTTAATGATATATGTATATTATGCATGGTAGAGCTTGCTGCTATTATATTCATTATTATAAAATTTTTTATTTTTATTTAGTAAAGTTTTGAGTTTTGATTCTATGTTTTGAGTGTCATTTCACACGTTATGCAGCTGGGCCTTATTCATTTCTTGGAAGATTTTAGTCTTACATTATTAAATTTTGCATATGTTCATATGCACGTATGTGTATATATATATATATATATATATATATATATATATATATATATTTATGTAGAAAGGCAGGTTTCAGGACGTGTTTTAAAAACGTGATTTTTGTGTATAATGATGAAGTAAATTATGTTTGGAAGACTTTTTTGTTGATATAAATCAATATTTTTCGAAATATTTTGAAATATGTATGGATTGGCAGTTATCAGGTCAGTTATATTTTTAATTAAAACAGCAAGTATCTTTTTATTTAACGATTATATTCTATATATTTGATACCAATTAGTAGATTTTGATCAATTTTGTATAGTAAAATAAAAAAATTAATAAATTATATATGATTTTTTCATAAGTCCTTAAATCTGCCATTTTACCGAATTATTCTTTAGAGAAAAGGCAGTTTTCAGACCGTTCATTTTTTCAATAAAAAAAGCAAATAATTTATTTTATTTGAGTTTTTTGCAATTGAATATAACAAATTACATTAATTGATAATGTAATAAATTACTAAAATGCAATATTAAGTAAAAATTTCGTATAAAAGTGCAAGTTCTGAAATGTACCATTTTGTTAAAAATAAATTGTACGTTAGGGTAGTTTTCAGGTCTTATAATATAATACCTAATATAACATTTTACTCAAAATTTCGATGAATTTAACAACTGCCGTTTGAATACAGAAAAATAAATGATTAAAGGAAAATTACAGTTTTGGTTTATCTTACTTTAAACATTTTCCAATATTGAACAAAATAATCTGAAAATTGCCATTCCACTGCTATAAATAGACCTAAAAACTGCCATTTTGCTGCTACATACAGACCTGAAAACTGCATTCCATTATATGTAGACATAAATACTGCCAATTTGCTACTAAATGTATATAGATCTGAAAACTGCCAATTCGCTACTAAATATGTATAGATTTGAAAACTGCTATTTCGATACTACATATGGACCCGAAAACTGTCATTTCGCTACTACATATGGACCCAAAAACTGCCATTTCGCCATTACATATGGACCCGAAAACTGCCATTTGAGCAAGAACTTTTATACTTTCGATCTTCTACACATAATTTAAATATCTCATGGAGTTCTTTTTAAATATTTTGCATTAAATTTAATTATCGACATGTCGCACTATGAGTTTGACATGATCCACGACTTTAACTTTGAACATCAGTTTTTGGCAATCTGTGTAACGAAATCGGTTGTTTGAAGAAAAGGAATTTATTGAAACTGAATTTTATATCCAAATCCAGTTATAGAAAATAACGGAAATCATTGTTCGTCCTAAAGGATCAAATCTCATCATTTAAGAAGTATTAATAATTTTAGTCTTTTCTTGTCGAAAATTAGCGATCTGAAAATTGCCATTTCGCTGCAACATATGGTCCCGAAAGCTGCCATTTCGCTACAACATATGGACCCGAAAACTGCCATTTCGCTACTATGTATAAACCCGAAAACTGCCACTTGAGCAAGAACTTTTATACTTTCGATCTTCCACACATGATTTAAGTGTCTTATGGAGTCCTTTTTAAATGTTTTGCTCTATAGTGTATTATCAGCATGAAGCATTTTTAATTTAACATGATCCACTTTAACTTTGAATATCAGTGGTTGGCAATGTGGGTAACGAAATCGGTTGTTTGAATAAAAAGAATTTATGGAAACTGAATTTTATATCTAAATCCAGTTTTAGAGAATAACGGAAATCATTGTTCGTCCTATATGATCAA